CAATGGGAGACACTTATGGGGAGGCGAGGGGGGTGGGGGAAGGGAGAAATCAGCATAATTCTCCACCTCTCTAATCTTCATGTGGCATCCCTGGGCTGTGGTTTCCATAGCTCTGTCTCTTGCCAGACAGCCCTTTCTTTATTGGAGCCAGATGCCCCTGGGCGTCTGGGCTTTGAAAATATCACCTCCTCCTGTTGAAACTCCAGCCCCAGGAGAGGTAAATGATTTCCTAATTTCTGGGGTGCTTCATTATGTCCTGCTTATTTTCTCTGTCCTTCCATAATCTTTGCACTTGATTCCCCATATTAAATTCCCTTCATCCAAAAGACCTACAGTGGGTGCTAACTGATAAAATATGTGAGTTTAATTGAGATTCTTTAAAAAACTGTTTATAAAGGCAACTAGCACCTTCATTGGACAAGCCTTGGCCACGGAGGGAGTTTGTCAGACATTTTATGAGCATGTATTTTGATCCTTGGCTTCAAAGAAACCACCTTAATAGTACCATTTTTGGCATCCTCGATTATCTGAAACCATACAAAATTTACCAAGGTGAAGTTTCCTTCACCTGCCCCCCTCTCTATTCTAATTAGAATTTATCTAATTCTAACTTTGACATTAACTTCAGATTTCTTTGAATCAGTGGTTCTCAAATTCTAGAATGCATCAGAATCACCTGGAGGGCTTATTAAAGCAGAGATGGCTAGCCCCCTTCAGAGTTTCTGATTCAGTAGGTCTGGGATGGGGCCCAAGAATTTATATATTTTTATCTAGTTTTTTTTTTATTGTGGTAAAATGTATATATTAAAATTTATAATTTTACCCAGTTTGAGCATACAATTAGGTGGCAATAAGAACTTTCATAATGTTATGCAACTATCACCAGTATTGATTTCCAAGCTTTTTCACCACCCCTAACAGAAACTCTTTATCTATTAAATAACAATTCCCCATAACTCACACCCCACCCTCCACCGCCGGCCCCTGGTGACCTCTAATCTACTTTCTATCTTTATGAACTTGCTTATTCTAGGAAACGCATACGAGTGGAATTATACACTATTTGTCCCTTCACGTCTGGCTTATTTCATTTAGCATAATGTGCTCTTGGTTCATCCCTGTTGTAACATGTGTCAGGATTTCCTTCCTTTTTAAGGCTGAATAATATTCCAGTGTAGGTATATGCCGCATTTTATTTAATGCATTCATCTCTTGATGGGCATTTGGGTCATTTCTACCTTTTCGCTATTGTAAGTAATGCTGCTCTGAACACTGGCCTACAAGTATCTATTTAGTTTTCTGCTCTCAATTCTTTTTGGATCCATAGATACATAGAAATGAAATTGCTGGATCATTCGGCAATTCCATGGAAATTTCTGAGGAACTGTCATATCATTTTCCACAGTGGCTGCCCCATTTTATATTCCCGCCAGCAATGTACGAGGGTTCTAGTTTCTCCACATCGTTGCCATACTTGCTATTTCCCTTTTTTTCCAAAAAGATAATTTTCATTCTAATGGGTGTGAGGCAGTACCTCACTGTGGTTTTGATGTGCATGTCCCTAATGGCTAGTGTTCCGTGGGTCTCATGCCTATTACGGTAGTGCCCCCATCCGTCATGTCTGAAGCCCTTGTCTGGGCAAATATCACACTTGCAGGGAGCTCCACGGACATTTCCCCCTCTGGAGCTGTACTTACGGCAGGCTGGCTCTTGTGGTTCTTACTATGATCGCAGGACACACTTCAGCAGAAACCATCAACTTTGAGGAATAATATTTATTACTCACAAGTCCGGGAGGATACAGCGCTCGCCGGTAAAGGAGAGGGAAGGAACACAGACCTGGGACTGCCTTTATTAGGGTGGAGGGTTTGGGTGCCTCAGGGTTTCTTGGGTTCACTCTTAATTAGCAAATTTAAAACATAAGAACAAGAATCAGAGCATGGGAAGGGAGAAGCGGGGGTCACTCAAGTGGTCAGTGTTCTGGGTTGCCAGGGCTTTCTAAAAGGGGCACTTCGTGGGAGGATGCGGCCTCGTTCCTTATCCGGTTGGTTTGCTAGTAACTGTGTCCTAGAGCCGGCAATATTATTTAAGATGGGTGTCTTTTGAGGCGTGCCTGGGTGGCGCAGTCAGTTAAGTGTCCCACTCTTGGTTTTGGCTCAGGTCGTGATCTCAGGGTCATGAGATGGGAGCCCCACGTTGGGCTCTATGCTCAGCGGGGAGTCTGCTTGAGGCTCTCTCTCTCCCTCTCCTTCTGTGCCTCCCTGCCCTGCTCTCTCCCTCTCAAATAAATAAATAAATCTTCAAAAAAAAAAAGATGGGTGTCTTTTGAAATGGGTACCTCAGTCTTCAAGGCCTAATGTCAGGTCCTTACACTACAGCTGGTGATGTTGGATACCTCTTCATGTGTTTATTGGCCTTCAATATATATACATATATATAATATATGATATATATTTTATATACAGCATATAAAATATGTATGTATATATATTTTTTTGAGAAATGTCGATGCAAATCCTATGCCTATTTTTGAATTGGGTTGTTTGGGTTTTTTGCTGTTGTTGGATGATCCACATTTTAACCAAGTTTCCAGGTGATGCTGATCTGAGAATCACATGCTCAGGATCACTGTTTTAGATGAGATTATATATGTCAAGTGATTAAATGCCAGCCTAGTTTGTGATACGGAAGTTTGACAAAATTTGCGTGGTACCCGGTTTTAATTACTTCTTGGGTATCAGGCTTTTGATAAATCATCTTCTGTGGACTTTCTGGGATTTTGATATATTCTCTTGTTCTCCATGCAGCAACAGGAATCAAGGCGGACCTGAAATTTAAAAATCCCAGTACTGTCACCTAACACCTTCAAACCCCCAGAGATCATTATCTGGATACGTCATAGCACCCTGGAAATACACATCTTACTAAAACTGTACAGGATGTTACTACTGACCTGAAGATTTAGGAAACTCTTGTTTGGATATCAGCATGGAGCCTCAAAACTCCTGACCAGTAGGAATCATTTTATACATGTGGCTTTTTAAAAGAAATAAAAATTATCTTGAAGAACCTTTGCTTATTAGACTGAGTTGGAAGAATATCATTGGCCATGTGAATATGTAATTACCATGATTTATTTGTCAAGTACTGAACATAGGTAAATTTCCTGCACTTTTATTGAAGTTGAGAAGTTAATTAGTATGACTATTAAGCAAAACCCAGAGATCATTATATATGAAAATTTCCCTATAATTCTAATAAACTGATTTCAAAACCAATTAGGCTTGCAATTTCACTTAATAGTCCCCAAACATTTTTCCCTTTGGTTAATGGATCTCTGCACTTCTCCTTCTCACTAAAAATATTCTAGGACTATTTAAAAGGTTTATAACAGTTCTTGTTGGACATACATAATTAAGTTTATTTTCTGTGAAAATCTGTGGAAATGTCCTTTGGAATTAATGGAAATGTACAATTTGTCTTATTATTGTTACTTAGTATTTATGTAGCCCTTCATAATTCTAAAGTACTATATAATCACTAGCTCCTCCTGAACTATTTTTATGTCATTCATTATATTGTCCTTTTGATACAATCTGTGATTTACTTCTGTCATGCCATTTGATCTATTTCAAGAGAAGAATAGAATAAGATGGGCTCTTGTAATATCCTGGGTTTGGGGTTCCCAAGATCACCCCTAGGTTGGATGATTCACTAGAGAGACCCACAGGATTCAACATCTAGCCACATTGACAACTTTGATTTATTACAGCAAAAGGATGTAAAGCACAATTAGCCAAGGGAAAAGGTATGTGAGATGAAGTCTGTGGGAGACCAGATGCAGGTTTCCAAGGGTCCTCTCCCACCGGATTTGTGCAGAACGCACTTAATTCCTTCAACAAATTGTGACAACATTTGTAAAATGTTGTCTATCAAGGAAGCTCATTAGAGACTTAATGCCCAAGGGTTTTATTGAAAGCTGATCACAGAGGCAAACTTTGCCTGGCATGTACCATATATCCAGGCTGCCAGAAAGAACTAGCAGGCGTTCAGCATTGTGATGATTAATTTTATGTGTCAACGTGACTGGGCCATAGTGCCCAGATAGTTGGTCAAACATTTGATGTTTCTGTGAAGGTGTTTTGGATGAGATTTACATTTAAACTGGTGGACTTTGAGTAAAGCAGATTTATTCCCCATAATGTTGGCGGGCCTTGTCTAATCAGTTGAAGGCCAGGGCAAAGGACAAAAACAAAAGACTGCCTGCTCCCAAGCAAAAAGAAATTCTGCCAGCAGATGGCCTTTGGACTTGAATTGCAACATTGGCTCTTCCTGGATCTCAAGCCTAATGGTCTACCCGCAGATCTGCAAATTTTGGACTTGCCAGCTTCTATAATCATGTGAGTCAATTCCTTAAAATGAAAAAATGAATCTTTCTTCTCTCTCTTTCTCTGTCTCTATCATATCTATCTATCTATATATATATCTCCTACTGCTTTTGTTTCTCTGTAGAACCTAATATAAGTATACACCATATTGTTTGTACAGTTTAGACACAGTGAGCCCCTCTGCTCACTTACTGGTGGGAACACTCCTGAAATATAAATTCCCAGATGCCAGCCAAGGGCTAATCTTGCAGCTGGGCCTTTCCAAGGATAGAAGTTCAGGTCTGCTGGGTTAACTCTTTCCTCATATACCCCCACCTCATATACTATATATAGAAAGAGACAAAAGGTAAGGGGTGGGGGAGGTTTTCTTGTCTCTTTGCTGGATCCTTGTAAATGTATACCTTGTTTAAAAACTGGGCAGGGGGGAGGTGTGGGGGAGAATTTCTTGTGTCCATGGGGCTAGAGGAATATTCTTGTTACGTATAAAACCATAAACTGGCTAAAGCATTCCCTATATTTGTCTCCTGTTACTGTTTAGAATTTCCAATCTAACCTAGCATCAGACTGCATTCTCCAAATAAAAGAAGTTCTTATCAGGCCACGGCAGGGAAAATGGCAGGTGGGAAGAAGGGAGAGGAGAAGCCTGAAAAACCACAGCGAGCTGGAGCCGCCGGAGGACCTGCAGAAGAAGCAGAAAAACCTGTGAAAACTAAGACTGTTTCTTTCAGTAATGGAAGGGAAAATTCCAGTCACAGTGCTGAGACACGATCAGCTGAAGAAGAAGCTGCAGACCTCCCAGCAAAGCCTGTAAAGATCTCCAAGTTAGGATTTGCCATAGGTAGTCAGATCACAAAGCAAGCCTCACCCATATCCATCAAACTTGGATCAAGTAAGCCTAAAGAAACTGTTCCAATGCTTGCTCCAAAAACCCTTTCAGTAGCAGCAGCTTTTAATGAAGATGAAGATAGTAGCCAGAGGAAATGCCTCCAGAAGCAAAGATGAGAATGAAGAATATTGGAAGGGCTACACCAACATCAGCAGGCCCAAACTCCTTCAATAAAGGAAAGCATGGTTTTTCTGATCAACAGAAGCTCTGGGAGTGAAATATAAAATCTCATCTTGGAAATGTCCATGACCAAGACAATTAAATGATGTGTTTTGAAATTGGGGTGTGGGGTGGATGTAAAGTTAAAAGAAACAGTTTCCTTTTTTAGAGAATGGTGGGGTGCCTGGGTGGCTCAGTGGGTTAAGCGACTGCCTTCAGCTCAGGTCATGATCTTGGAGTCCCGGGATCAAGTCCTGCGTCGGGCTCCCTGCTCCATGGGGATCCTGCTTCTCCCTCTGACCTCCCCCCTCTCATGTCTCTCTCTCTCATTCTCTCTCTCAAATAAAAAAAAATCTAAAGAATGGTATAATGGTATAAGACTATCTTTGGAGCCACTTTTTTTTTTATGATTGAGTGGTACACTCATTGAGAGTTTGAAATTAGAGGTAATTTCTGTATTATATACAGATTTCGAGACATTTGCTAATTTTGTAGCTTCATATGATTAGTGTCCAAAGGTTACCGATAATAAAAACTCAGAAATGGTAAAAAGAAAAAAAAAGAAGTTGGTATCAAAAAAAGGTTGATCCACCTTTGTAGTCTTCAGATCTGTGCTGCTTGCAGGCTCTGTCCTGTGATTTTTCAATAGATAACATAACTTTTCTTTTAACTTCACAGGAAATTCCATGCTTGAATGTGCCCTGAGTGATGAAGCATGACAAGAACTACCACCCAGTAGTCTTCAGAATTAAAATGGTTTGACAGCCGTTCCTCCAGGGACTTGGCCCTTTCCTGCAAGCCATCAGCACTGAAGATGCTCCTGGGATGCAAGAATGGTGACTTTCCAGGCAGAAGCAGTGTTTTCAGAATCTGCACTTGTTTACTCAACAGATCGACAAAAAGAAGCAGACAGGGATGGGCAGGGGCAAAACACACGTTCAAATGCTTTGCCATCTCAAACTTTCATTTTTTTTTCTCAACATTTTGACAATGTCTTCACTAGTCTCCCTGTGTCTTCTCTCCCCCACTTCCAATTTATTTCATATGTTGCCCTAAGGATTTTTCTATGAACACGAATCTGGTCATAGTGTCGCCCTTGACCTCCACTCACTGTGTCTGGTCCACTGAATAAATTCTCAAGCCCTTGGCCTTGCATTGAGAGAACATCAGAGTGTGGCCTGAATTTACCCTCCCAGCCATATTTCTAGTCACCTCCTCATCAAGGGTGAGTCAGTCATTCCTCTTTGACCCCCAAATCTAAGAATCCCTCAGACTGTAAAGTTGTGCGGTTTTGTAAAGTCTACTATCAATAGGATATGTACTTTTGCACTAAACTTTGTATTGAAATACACAAATGAGTGCACATGCCTTAAGTGTGTCGCTTGATCAATTTTCAAAATGAACATACTACTGTCACTCTCACCATCAAGAAACAGACCATCACCAGCACCGCCCACAAGCCTCTCCAGACCCTGTCCCGCTCACTCCCTGCCCCCCGGCCTTCTATCACCTCTGATTCGTTTTTTCTGTTTTCCAATTCTGTAGGCATGGAATCGTACAGTATGAACTCTTTTGTATCTGGCTTCTTTTGCTCAATATATGTTTGTAAGGTTGAACTGTGTCAATGTAACAATTATTGGCTGTTCTCATTGCTGTATCTCTTCCAATTTACCCATTTTACTTTGACCGACATTAGATTGTTCTCATTGTTTGGCTATTAAGAATAGTGCTGCTCTAAACATTCTTGTATGTGTGTTTTGGTAACTGCGGGCATACGTTACTGTAGGATGAATAGCTAGGAGTGAAATTACTGGGACACAGGGGTATAAATGTCCCTAGCTTTAGTAGATACTACCAAGCAATTTACTAAAATAGTGCCAACTTACATTCCCCGAGGCAATGAATGGGTTTTCCTTCACACCAACACTTGGCAGTGTGGTTATTTTTCATATTAATCCTTTTTCATATTAATTTTATAATTTTTCATATTAATCTGCCGTTTTGGAGGATGTGTAGTGATATCTCATTGGGGTTTTAATTTATGTTCCCTAGTGACAAGTGATGTTGACAAACTTTTCATGTTTATTTTTTTTCTTTTGTGAGGTGTTCAAGTTTTTTGCTCATTTTTTCTATTGACTTTAGGATTTATTTATCTATTAGGAGTTATATACCCTTTATATAGTAAATTTTGTACATGTACACACGCGTATGTGTACATTTGTCTCATTCTGTGTCTTGCCTTTTCACTCCCAGTGTTATTTTTTGATAGACACAAGTTCTTAATTTTAATGATGTCTAATGCTTTCATTTTTTTTCTTTATGGTCAATGCTTTTATGCCCTGTTGAGAAATCTGCTGGCCCTAAGTTTATCAAGATATTCTCCCACCTAGAGATCTAAATCTGAAATCTCCTAGACTTGATTTTTGCTTATGATGTGAGGCGGCAATCAGACTATGGCTTTTGCATATGGATATTCGTTTGGCCAATTTACTGAAAAATCCATCATTTCTCCATTACACTGCAGAGTCATCTTTCTCCTAAGTCAGGTAGCTGCATTTGTTGTGAGTCTACTTCTGGTTTCTCTACTGGGTTCCACCAGTCTGTTTACCTACCCTGTGCCAACACCACATTGTCTTCATTACTGCGGCTTTGTAGCAAGTGGTGACATTTGGTGATGCAAGTCCTTCGGCTTTGTTCTTCAAAGTGGTCTTGGCTATTCCATTCCAAATGCAGGTGCATTTTCATACAAACTTTAGAATAAGTTTGTCACTTTTCACAAAAGTAAAACTTCTGGGATTTTGATTGATATTTCATTGGATCTATATATCTATTTGTGAGAGAATTCGCATTTTTATCATATCAAATTTTCCAACCGGTGCATATGGTTTATTCATTTATTTAGGACTGCTTTAATTTTCATAAAAATGATTTATAGTTTTCTATGAAGAGGTCTAGGCTAACATATTGTTTAGGATTTTAGTATCAATGCTCATGAGAGTTACTGCCGTGTAATTTTCCTTTCTGTAATGTCACTGTTAGGTCATGTTGGCCTCATAAAATGAGTTAAGAAGTATTTCTACTCTTATATTCTGTGGAAGAGTTTGTTAAGACTGGTATGATCCCTTCCCTAAGTATGTTTAGATGAATTTACTAGCGGGGCCATCTAATATCTAACGTCTCATCTTTGTGAGAGAGTTTTAAATTGCAGATAGATACATATTTGAAATTTTAAATGTAATTTTCTGTCAGCTTATTAAATTGTGTTTTTCTTTGGATGTGTACATTTTGTCTAAATTGTAACTTTGTTAATATAGTGCTGTTCATAGTATTTTTTTTTTTAAAGATTTTATTTATTTATTTGAGAGAGAGAGAGAGCACATGAAGGGGGGAGGGTCAGAGGGAGAAGCAGGCTCCCTGCCGAGCAGGGAGCCCGATGCGGGACTCGATCCAGGGACTCCAGGATCATGACCTGAGCTGAAGGCAGTCGCTTAACCAACTGAGCCACCCAGGCGCCCTGTTCATAGTATTTTATCAGCTTTTTTTAAGTTTGTTTATTTATAATCTCTATACCCAACGTGGCGCTCAAACTCATGACCCAAGATCAAGAGTTCTATGCTTTACTGACGGAGCCAGCCAGGCGCCCCAACAAAAAAAGATGTTCATCAGCTTTTTAACATCTCTTTAATCTACAGTGATGTCCTTTTTTATTTCCAATATTCATCATGTCTTATCTCTTTTTCTTATCAGTTGTGCTAAATATCTATCACCTTTAAATATCTTTCAAAAAACCAACTTTTGGCATTGTTGATTTTCTTTGCTTTATATTTTCGATTTCATTAATCTCCCCCCTTTGTTATTTAATTTCTTCTCATTTGGATTTAACTCACTGTGTTTTTAAAAATTGTTTGTGATGGACACTAATAAGATATGCATTTAAAACACTTTATAATGTCACATGTTATCATTCACCTTTTCCCCCACTGTGTTTTGTGTGACCAAAAGCCCATGTTTTCCAATGAAGACCCCCTAAGAAACTAGGGATATAGTTTGTTAATACAAAAACCTTATTCTTTTTAGCGGGTAGCTTCTATGGTGTAGAGCTGTGACCGTATTATAATTGTTAATGTAACAATTCAAAATATTACCTAGTGGTCTGGATGATGGGGACCTTCTTTTACACACCCAAGTTTCTCCATAGTAGGAAGTGACATAACACTCAGAAGAACTGAACACTGGGCAATAGCCTTGGACAATATTTCATTTTTCATCTCCTTTTGAGATTAATCTATTAATAGGACTGTGTTAGTTTCCTAGGGCTGCCACGACTAAGTAACAGCAACTCGGTGGTTTAGGACAACAGAAATTTATTGTCTCAGAGTTCTAGAGGCTGGAAGTCTGAGATCCAAGTATCAGCAGGATAGCACTTCCATTGAAGCCTATTGGGAAAGGATCCTTCCTTGCCTCTTCCAAGCTTCTGGAAATTTGCCAGCAATCTTTGGTGTTTCTTGACTTACAGATGTATCACTCCAATCTTGCATCTTCACAGGGCTATCTCCCTCTTTGTATATCTGTCTCTATATTCAACCTTCCCCTTTTTTTAGAGAGTAGGGCAGGGGCAGATGGAGAGGGAGAGAGAGAATCTTAAGCAGGCTCCATGCCCAGCACGGAGTGATGGAGGACTGGATCTCATGACCCCGAGATCATGACCTGAGCTAAAATCAAGAGTTAGACACTTAACTGACTGAGCCACCCAGGCACCCCTCAATTTTCCCTTCTTGAGGACACCAGTCATATTTGATTAGGGCCTACCCTTATGACCTCATTCTAAATTGATTACCTCTGCAAAGATGCCATTTCCAAAATAGGTCATATTCTGAGGTACTGGGGTTAGGACTCCAGCATGTCTTTTTTGAGGGATACAATTCAATGTACAACAAAGACAATCTCAGTGCTTGTTGAGAAGGCTCCACGGATGGACAAAAGGAAAGCCAGACAATGGATTGGGGAAGGAAAAGCATCCCATAGACAGGCAGCCAAAACACTCTCCTTGCATATGGA